CGACGCCTGCTCTCTCCAACTCCACCAGGGATGAGTCCACCGATGAACGCACTGCTTATTGGGACTATGATGCTGGACTAGGATGTGTGTCGTGTGCTGCCCTTATACTTGCCCTGATATTCTCATACTTAGTAGTTAGAGTTAATTTTAAGATTATTAGATTGTTTGGTGTGTGTTTGCAGTGAATAAACCGAGCATTCAAAAACGTCTAAGAGCATTGAGTAATTATTGATCGTGCTGCTCATGACAGTCATTCAGTAACCATCTCTTTGTTCTCTGGTTGCTGAAGATGGACCAGCCGGGTGACTTACTGCTCACCGTATCTGAGCAGGCTTTGTAGAAAGAGGTGACATCACGCCTGTGTCTTAATAGCCCAGGTCTGCTGCAGGCTTGCATCTCAATTACTTCCAGCTGGAGAGCCTGATGCACCTGTTGAGATTCTATGACGGACACCTGAGTTAGGGAACCCTCCAGGGCCATGTGGGGACATGCCCTGAGCCATAGCCTGACAGGCTCCATTTCCTCATCTGTATTGGGCACCTTGTTGTTTTTGCTGGCCATCTCCTTTACCAAGTAATCGTGTTTATCATTTTAGATGACTGCCAAAAGAAATTCTAACGTCTCAGAAAGCTATGGATGACACTGAAAGTCCAAACTACATTTGTAGAGTCCCCACATGGATTCAGCATCCATTGAATTCCCTCTGACCATGGACCAGGCATGTAAATAGTCTTGCCCTCAGATAGATAGCATTGGAAAGTGGATGATTTACACCCCCTTGACCAGCCCAGGGTGGGGCAATCTCCTTCAGGGGCTTACCTGAGTGTATCCTTGAAATAGATCACTGTACCAGGGGTCCCATGGTCATGAGCCATGCCCTGATTGCCTCAAGGAGGCCCCAGGACCAATGTTACACGCTCCTTTGTCTTACATAATGCACGTGTCCCAATCATGGCCCCAAACCCACTCCACGGGTCCAACCAGTCACTATGTTATACTGATCTGCCACCAACCATGGTTACGGGACAGTCTTCTTTGACCTCCATGTCCTTTTAAAGCTACGCATCTTGAAGGTCATTATGACCTCATGCTGATAATCACTCTCATCCAGACGCCTGTCTCTGCAGTTGTTCTGTTTGCCCTGTTTATGATTTAATACATGCTCTTTAAAAAAAGATAAAGAAATTCTAACCAAAACTTCTGAGTTTAATCTAACAGCTGTATTTAACCAAATTGACTGCCACTGAGTCAATTCTAACTCACAGAGATAAAATGTGGTATATACACGCAAGGACTACTACTACTCAGTAAGAGAAATGAAGTCTTGATACATGTTACAACATGGATGGCGCTTGAAGACATTATACTAAATGAAATAAGTCAATTACAAAAGGATAGAAGTTAAATAAACTCACTTATATAAAAAGACAAGACCAGGCAAATTATAGAGAGTAAGGTTTCTTAGTGGTTACTAGTGATGGGAGGGAGGGGAAAAGGGAGTTATTTTTTATGAAGTACTGAGATTGGGTTTGGATGATGATGGAAATGACGATGGAAAAAAGTCACATTGATTAAGAATAGGGTTGCACAGCCAATTACTGTAATAGCTGTCAACATAAGTAGTACACCTGTAAAGAGTTAAATGGGTAAAAGTTGTGTGATAGATATATTTACATCAATGGCCAAACAAACAAACGAAGAAGACCACTTACAGAGAAGCAAACAACTCATGGGACTTGGTTCCTTGGTTTGCAGGTTGAAGGTCCTGGATTCATGGGCATCCCAGTTCATTGGTCTAATAATTTGTTCAGTGTTCAGTGCCTGTGTTCTACCACTTCACTTCTCACATAGGGTCTGGGGTCTTAGAAGCTTGTAAGCAGCTTCTAAGGTACAATGATTTGGCTCTATGTATCCAAGCAAGAGAGGAAGAAGGGGAGTCAGGAATACCCCAAAACCAGAACTTGCTGCCAGTGAGTGCATCCCAACTCACAGCAACCCTACTCCCGCAGAACTACCCCTGTGGGTTTCCGAGGCTAAATTTTTAGACGATTAAAAAAACCTCATCTTTCTCCCAAGGAGCGGTTGGTGGTTCCAAACTGCTCACCTTGTGGTTAGCAGCTCAATTCGATACCCACTCTGCCACCAGGGGTCCTTAGAGTCAGGTATAGGAGGAGAAAATGCAATGGAGCTAATTACATCCATGAACAACGGCCAGGAGATAAGAAGGCCTGAGTGATGCCTGACTACTATTACTGACCATTTTAATGAAAGACTATGTAGAATAATCCGGATCTATAGGGAGGAAACGCAGGACAGAATTTAATTCTTATGGACTCCAGACTTTCTGGAATCAGTGGGGCTAGATGAACTCCTAAAAATATTGCCCTGAGATCCTCTATAAACCTTAAGCCAAAAATATTCCTTGAAGTGTTCTTTAAAGGCAACAGCAGTTTAACTTAACTAGTAGCCACAATACTCCTTATGTGCTTTGGGCATGTTATTAAGAGAGACCAGAGCTTGGAAAAGGACATCATGCTTGGTAAAAGAGAGGGTCATTGGAAAGGGAAGACCCTCATCATGCATTGCACGTGGCTGCAACGAGGTTCTCAACTGTAATAGCAATGGTGAGGATCGCTCCAGACCAGGCAGTGTTTTGCTCTGTTGTACACAGGGTTGCCATGATTTGGAACTGACTCGACATCTCCCAACAACAACAATAGTAAGAAATGCCTCTGAGGATTGTACTCTTTTTGACTTATCACTTTGAGACTGACAACAGCAACTCCAAAGCTGGCACATAAAATTCAAGGATCGGTGAGCTGATGTTAGTAAGGGAGAAAGGCTCTGAAAAGGAATATGGGGATGTTTGCAGAACTCACAGAATGCAACCAATGTCACTGAACTGAACTTGCAGAATTATTTGAATTGGTATACATTTTGCTGTGTATTTTTCAACAACAACAAATTCATGTTGAAATTTATATAGAAAATTCTATATACAAAACAGTTTAATAATCTCTTAAGAAAATAAGCATGAGATATTTTACAGTCCCTACAACTTTCTAATTAAACTTGGTAAGTATTAAATAAAATCAAAGCATCAATATCTATTAAAATCTATTAAACACAAGAAAATAGAACTAAAATATATACCAAGGAAGTACAATGCCATGAAAATGAAAGCCACCTGAAGTATCCTAAGAAACTACCAAAATTCATAAAATGAGGTTCTTGTCCAACTGCAGTGTGGTAGTTACATAACTGTCAATTTGAGAGGATTATGCGTGTAGGGGTGGAGTCTAGTCTGTCAATGGGATCATAGCCAAGGAGGTATCTGGGTGGGCATGGCCTTCTCTTGAGAATTCTGGGAAATCTGGTATTACTTTCTTAGAGGTGGGAAATGCTCTGCTCACACCCTGGGAGACATAGCAGCTGACAAGACACATGGACCCACCCTGATGCAGCCGTGGGTGCTGGAGAAGCCATGCAGAGACCCCTGCCAGAACTGAGGTACTTACAAGGCCACTGGATCCAGAGACTTTCTACCCACTGGCCTGTGATCTTCTACATTCGGCATCATTGCATGTGTTTCGTGAGTCTGAAGAGCACTTCATAGACTGGTATCAGACACATGGGCTAATATCGGACTTATGGACTTGATCTGGACAGGGCTGGGATGTTTTCTCAATGTTCAATTCCTTTTGTATATAAACCTCTCTTATATACATATGAGTGTTTATGAATTTGTTTCTCTAGTCTGCCCAGACTAGCACATGCAGTTTTTTTAAAAACCAGAAAAATGACACTGTATTTATTAAAGAAAATGTCCGTGAGCTAAAATAAATATTTGAGTTTATACATTGATTATATTCATTATGCCTATGCAAAGGTAGATCCATATTATTTATGAAAACTAGGCACATCTGTGGAATTTTTTCAAAGATGTTCAAAGAATTAGATATTTAAGAAAGCATGGAAAAGAGTCATCAGTTATAGTTCATATGATCCCAAACTTGAAAAATGCACAAGGACAAATAGAAGGAAAATGAAAACTATTGATGAATTCAGAAAGGTAGATCATTGCATAATAGATACATTAAAATTTATAGAAATTAGTCATTTTAGTTGAAAAATAAAGTAAAAAATCCTATCCACATAAGAATATTACTATCATTGCCAATTTAAAAGCAACCATGAAAAATAAATAAATAAACAACAGTGAAATGCAACTGACCCAATTAATAAGAAATATACAGAATTTAAAAAAAGAAAATGGTAACACTCTTATAAAAGGCATAGAGGAATACTCAAAGGGATTCTTGATCAAATTCGTGTAAATATTCTTTCTTTATACTCTAGAAATTCAAAGTAATATCTACCAAAATTTCAGAAGGACTTGTAGAAACCTGAAAAACGGTTTCCAAACTTTTTTGAAAAATGAACTTTGATGAATAGTCAGGAAAATTCAGAAAAGAAAATGAGTTTGAATCAGCTACAGAAGATATGAACAAAATTCTCAAGCTAAGTTAGCAAGGTAGATCCACATTATTCCAAGAATAAGTAGATCAATGGAATAAAATAGAATTGCGAAATGTTTCTCACGTTTGTGTGTGATAAAAATGATATTCCAGTGGGGAAAGAGATGCAGGGTTTTTTGTTTCATAAAGACCTAACATTTATGTTTTAGATCGACAAAGGAACTAGGGTTATTTCTATCTCATCCCGAATCTTCCCATTTGCTCCAACCTCCCATTTCAGTGACCCCATTAAAATTCTGGACAATAAGAAAAATATGTACTTACCTGATAAACTCAAATGATATAATTTGAATGAACCATTCTAAGTAATTCTGGTTAAGAAACAACCTTATTTTCTCAGATTCGTTGGGCCGCAACTATTTGTATGCCTTAACTATATATTTTCAATCTCTATGTAAACATATTTAGGATACTAACTTTATATCCATGCTTTTATTTATTTAACATCGAACATGATGGTACCTTTCTTCCGTGAGCTGGGTACACATTCGTGTTCTTCTTTGACAGAGACTTTACAGCTCCTTATCCGACAGAAAAAGGATCGTCTTGAGCCAGAATACACACGTGTCCTTCCAGTGTGGAAATGATTGTGAACTTGCGAACCAGCTTTCATGGTAGAAGGAGGCAAGATAAGAAGTGAAAGAGAGTATTTTGCAGCAATTGTGGAATTTATCTATGAAGGATTGTTATTTATCTATTACATTTTGTCGTCCTGGAGACCCAATAGAACAGAGTATAAGTCCCCCATCGGGTTTACCAGGCTGCCTTATGGAAGCAGACTGGCACACCTTTCTCCCGCTGAGTGTCTGGTGGGTTCAAACCATCAATCTTTCAGTTAGTCAAGTGCTTAATGACTTCTCCATTGGAGTTGCTATGAATGGAAATCAACCAGACAATGCAAAACAGCAGCCTTACATTCTATATACATTTTTAAAATGTATCTGCCAAGCAATCACATTTTGATGACTTATAACCACTTGCAATTTACCTCTAAATTTTCCCCTGAGAATGAATAATAGACATCATACAATAAAATGAAATAATATTTTAAAAACTTGAAGTACAGCAACAATTCATGAGCCAAAGCTCCATGTTTTTGTATTATTAATTATTATTTGATATTTTTAGAGAAGATAAATACTTTCTCAAGTATAAGTATGCAAAGTCTTTTACTAAGTAAGTCTTACTCATATAAGAAAAAAAAATTATGATCCCAGTTGACTGGTACAGATAAGAGCTCTTGACACACGGAATCCAGGACAGATAGACGCTTCAGGAACAGTAATGGGAGTAGCGATACCATGAAGGTTAGGGAGAAGGTGGGGGAAGAAGTGGGTGAAAGGGAGGACTGATCACAATGATTGACAGGGGGATGAACAACAGAAATGTGGGTGAAGGGAGACAGCGGACGGTATAAGATATGAAAATAATAATAATTTATGATTTATCAAGGGGTCATGAGGGTGGGAGGGTGGCAGAGGGAGGGAAAAAAGCTGATACCAAGGGCTCAAGTAGAAAGAAAATATTTTGAAAATGATGATGGCAACAGATGTACAAATATGCTTGATACAATTGATGTATGGATTGTTATGAGTTGTAAGAGCCCCCAATAAAATGATTTATTTTTTTAAAAGACAATTTTTTTCTTAACAGAGCTAAGTAATTAAAACTCCAATAATTTTTATTTAAAATAAGACACTTTCTTATAAAGATTTTATTAGCACAGGAAAAACAGGAAATATGATTTAATCGTGTGTTCTCAAATCAAAGCATCTTCAAATCACTATGACTTTATATGAATACAGAAATTCTTGGGACAGCTATACTGATTTTTTTTTAACTTTGAAGTTAGGGATTATAAAGTTGACAGATTTAAAACTGACATAAGTGTGCTGAAATGAGCACTTACTGTTGGCATCTCCTGGCGTCTCTCGTGGTGGGATACCAGAAGAAGAAAGTTGTTCCTTTACTTTGGCAACATCTTTAGGGTGTAAAAAGTCAAATAAGCTTTGTCCCGTCAGACTGGCCTATTCATAAGACAGATAGATACTCATTTAAAACTAGAACCACAATTTTTCTACTTTTTCTTATCCAGGCAGATGATAAATATCTATTCCTTTACTAAAGTTGCTTTTTATCAAGTTCAAAGAAATATCTACTGTACCATGTAGTATGAACTTGGTGCTAGAAGCAGTGTGATATTTAAAGACAGAAAATAAATGCATGACTACAAAACCATAACCAAATACACACAAATCAACGCAAACATCTAATCATTAATGTTCTGCTAGCTTTTGTCTAATTTAAAACATCCTCCAAATCAAAACTTATTTCTAAATTATGTGATGATTTACTTTTAACTGTTCTTTCAAAAAAACACATTTGGGAGCCATATCTATTATAGGAATTTAATATCCATAGTATGAGAGAAACTCTCACAACAACAACACAAAGACATTCCAACTCAACTTCTCCAAAAGCGATGTACAAATGGTCAATAAGCAGACTGTTCACAATCATGGCCACGTTGTGAGTTGCCATTAGGTAGATCTTTGCTTTTGACCATCCCGTTTGTCATGGGTGTTTAAGGCTGTGACCTTTGTGCAGTTTGACGAGGTCAAATGCCACCGACACATTTCTGGTACCTTACATCATGGGAATCTCCATCTCCTATTGGGTGGCCGCGGAAACACATGGTCAGCGCACAGGGGGATTGGGCTGCATGCGTGACCCTGACTCGTCAGTTCTCTCAGTGGGCGCGGCGTGTAGTGGATGTAGTGTCCTGGGTCTCCCATTAGAAGATGGAAGATTCAGGGCTTGCATGGTTTTTGTGTCCTCAATTGGGGAAGGATTCATATGGTTCTCCATCCTTCTGTGGACAGCCATATAATACCTCTTTTTCTGTTCTTTAACTCCATATCTATCAATGCCTATTATTCTCCCCACTCTGTGAGGCTATAGGAAAATGAGGCTGAAGCTATGCGAGTTATTCAAGATTAAAGCTGTGGTCGATTTGACTTCCAGTTTAATTGAGACTACAGATGCAAGTTTCAACTAAATCGTGTTCAGGAATAAGGAGGTGGGATAAGGTAATCACTAAGCTACTGAATTAAATGACATATTCTAGGGTTTGTTGCCAGAGATTGTGCCAAAAGCTGTTATTGAATGCACATAACTTAATGATAAGGAATCGTATTATCTCTTGAAGGAGTCAGGAGGAAACGGTGATAGGAAGACTATGAAGAAGGAAATGGACAGTTTGGCCAATTGCCTCCATGAACAACCGCTTCCTTTGCTGGGCAACCCAAACAATTGGATAGTACCAGACTACCGAGACTGCACCTTTTGACCAGAGATTCTAGACAAAAATCCCAGAATTTCCAGTGACCATGGGATGCCAAGTTCCCGGAGCCACCGAGGCTGGAGGATCCTCCTATTGCCCTAAAATAATCTTTAAACCTTTAACCCACAACACACCCTGAAGCCTTCTTTAAAGTCTTCTTTAGCTTAGTAAAGAATAGCTGCCTTGAGCATCGTGTTCTTTTAAGCTCTACATGGGACCAAACTGAGCAACTGAAAAGTTTGGACAGGAAGCTGGAGGGGGCTAGGGGTGGGGAGGGCAATAGGGTAGGTCAGTGCAGGAGGGATGATTCTGAACACGAGGCCGAGAAGGGACGCACATCTGGAAGAGTACAATCTGTGTCACTGGCCTGTCCATGCAGAAATTATTGAACTGTGTATCTTTTCAGCAACAATTTTTAAAATCTTAAAATAATAATAATGTTGCCTCTTAGAGGAAGGAGAGAAAGGTAGCCAACAGACTTCGGATACTCTCAAAGACAAAACCACATTTCGTGCTTACATTTTGAGAGCAGGTATAATCATCACTCATCCCTTTACTAGGACCAGACTGAGGCTCAGCAAAACGAAGCCACTTGAAAGTGAACATGAATCCCAGTAATACAAGTCCATGCCCTTTCTCTGGGTGCTCTAATTCAGTAGACATTAATCTTATATCCCACTGGGAAGAAAGGAGTCAGGAAAAGCACCTGAAGACATATGTGTTTGGAAAATTGAACACTGTGTAGAAAATATCCTTAGTATTGGATACCTGGTCATAATTAAGCGTTTTGGAGACTGATTTAGAAACAAAGAGAATTTTTCCTCTTTCACATCCAACCACAAATAGGAAGCCTTCAGCAGCCTAAGGTTTAAAAGAAAAAAAAAGTAAGCATTTGAAAATATCTTCAGTCTTGCTCAAACACACATTTAGATTTTGAGGAAATTATTATAGCAACTGAACTCACGAAGTGGTCACAAAACTTTATAAAAGTGATCTTCAGATATGCTCTTAAAGACATAAAAATATTTCTAAATAAGGACAAACTGAATCCCAGTCTAGTGACTTTTGAGACGAAAGCCTGAGCCATGGTATATCCAGTTGAATATTTCCTAATGTAAGAATTATCTTTATCATTTTCTACATTTATCAACTGAAAACAAATATGAGGCAAATTAGGTAGGTGTGTCCCAGACAAATAATGGGGCAGGACCAGAGTTAAAACACAGACTGGCGAGAAAGTTTCCAAGCTATGGCACAACCTTCTATATTTAAAAAATGTCTTCACTATCTGCAAAAATCCTTCATGCTTCTATGAGGAATACCACGTTTAAATTCAGCTACTCAAATCAAAGAGTAGCATAAACAGTTTCTGGAAGAAAAATGGACAAAAGTACATATGAAGGATTTTTCTATTTGATCACACTATGGCTTAGCACCTGGTCACACTGGCACTTGAACATGGCCTTTCCCAACTCCTGGGAGCAGCAGATGGCAACGATAGGACCACATTCCTTACATCAAATAAACCTCTAGCAGAGTGAACTTGCAAACCCATGTATACAAAGTAATGAGGACAGAAATGTCACAACGCATCAACTGGCTGAGGCCTCAGGAAGGAACCAGTAACTGTCTGCTCTGCAGAGATCAGGACCCGGAGGGATGGGCTGTAGGAGCAGCTATGGGGAGGACACGTTGTACAGAGTGAGCCCATTTGGCAAGGGCCGAGGCTAGCACTCAAGGGAAACTCTGCTTCATGTCACGAAGGTGCCTATCTACTGGCTCTGCTTTCCTTAGCCCAAGCTACTCAGTCACGGCTACTTGTATAACTTAAAATCTCCATCCTATAGGAAATGGGTTCAATGTTGAATCATGTGTGTTTATAATAGGAAGCAAATTCAAGAAACTCTGTCTCTCACGTACATAAAAAATGAAAGTGAAAAATACAACTTAAACCTACTTACCTTAAGGATTAAGTGTCTGAGCTCGCTGTCCTGAATAAAGGAAGGCCTGTAATTATCTCCCACGAATGAATTTGTCATGCCTAAAATGAAACACGTCAAACGTCATTGAGAGGATACGAAGGAAGTCAACATAGTATGCTATGCCGCTGCTGTTGTTCCTGCTGATGACAGGGCATCTCTTTGAGTAGGCTGCAAGTCATTCTTTTGCTTCATGATTAAAATGTCTTAAGCTTGCATCAGCAATTCCTGGAGCCACTTCTTTATTTTTGCTCAAATGTGCAGACAATAAGCTTGATATAAAAAGAAGCACCCCACCCCCACCCCGCATCCCAGGGGGATGAGCAACAGAAACATGGGCAAAGGGAGACAGTGGATGGTGTAAGATATGAAAATAAAAATAATTTATAATTTATCAAGGGGTCACGAGAGTGGGAGGGTGGGGGAAGGAGGGAAAAAAGAGGAGCTGATACCCAGGACTCAAGTAGAAAGAAAATGATGATGGCAACATATGTACAAATGTGCTTGACACAATGGATGGATGGGTTGTTATAAGAGCTGTAAGAGCCCCCAATAAAATGTTTCATTAGAAAATAAGCATTTTAATAAAATATACATATAATATTATTTAAAGGATACAACCAATCCTCATTTATCATTATAGTGAGGTTCAAAGAGCAGGTTGATATGCAAAAATTGGCATTATGCAAAAATGAAGGAAGATCACATCTGATAACAAAATGGAGGATAACTATATCATTACACAACTGCTACATCATCTCTTTATAAATTGCCAAACTACACAGAATCATGGCGCAGTCAGGCTGCCACATCGCTTCAACTAACACAGCCAGTGTAACACGGACCTCACATCTCCATGTTCACTAATGACAAAAGCACACAGGAAGGTGGCAAATAGTCAGGTAGTAGATTTTTCATTAGGGTCATAAATGCAAAATGGCAGATAACAAACTAGTCAATAAGTAAGGAGTAGGTGTATAATTATTATTATTTTTTTGGTGTATAATTATTTTTATAATTGCTTATCTTATTAAAACTGGTCATACTCTGAATACTGGGATTCAGGAACTCTGGACACATTTTAAGGATTCATAGAACATTCAAGTTAGAAAGTTTCCTTAGAGATCATATAATGACTTCTGAAAATATGTAACTATGTATTATTATGAAAAAACCTCATTTTAATCCCTTAGTTCAGAGCTAATTATAGTAAAAAATAGACTAAAGAAACTGAAAAACTGGCAAAATGATGTAGAATTAGCAAAATCTATATGAGCCATATATATATCAAAACCTGTCTTGAAAGGAAGCCCAGAGTGCTCCTTAGAGGCAAGGATGGCATGGCTTCATCTGACATATTTTGGGCGTGTTGTCAGGAGACATCAGTCCCTGGAGAAGGGCATCATGTTTGGTAACGTGGAGGAGCAATGAAATAGTAGGCCCTTCACGAGATGGATTGACACAGTGGCTGCCGCAAGGGGCTCGGGCAAAGGACCCATTGTGAGGATCAGGCAGGGTGACTATATGTTGGAACCGACTTCATGGCACCTAACAACAACTTAAGAAAGCTTAACTGGAAAGATGAGAAGCCCCCAAAGCACATTTCCCTTAAAGGCACCTGCCAACCAGCCCTGGCTCATCAGGGTCCTTTGTGGTCACACTGTGGCATAGAGGACCAGAGCAGGGATTTCCAAAAATACCTGAGTAAGGGCGATTCTGAAATGATCCATTTTCTCTCATCTGTATCACACTACTTTCCTAATACCATCCCCTTCTCTCTGGGGACTGCAAGAAAGGTTGCTTTCTCAAGCAAGGTGACGGTAACCCTCTAAGATGTTTAAGTCACAAATTGGCCGTTGGATGGTTGGCCACCCACTGCACCAATTACAAATGGCAAAACGAAAACCACCTCATTCTATGATTTGGTAAGTGTTCTCAGAGTGGCAGCATTCCCAAGAACTTGGCTGAAGAAAAGGAAGACCCTAATCTTCTCCACAGGAAACGACCTTTTTCTCGAGACCTCAAAGAATTCCCACAAGTAATTTGTTACTATTACTATTAGTAGGCTGGTGGCCTTCCACTTTATCAGCATGAAATCTTGCTCCAGTGACTGATCTCCCCCAAGGATGTGTCAAAAGCAAGCAAGTCGGACAACGTCCTGCTGTGCTCCGTAAACTCTTTGACTAATTTTCAGAAGCACATAGCCAGGCCTCTCTTCCTAGTCTAAGTCTGAACTTTCCTCTGAAATCTATCTCTCAAAGGCAGCCTTTTTGGAATTTGAAACACTGGTTGTCTAGGTTCCAGTACCACAACATCACGCAAGCCTCCACAGTGCCACACACTGACGCATGTAAGACACCACTGGCTAAAGGGGCTAGCCTTAAGGAACTTGACCACTTCTTTTTTTTTTTTCAAGTTGTTTCCCCATATTTAATTGGAATATATATATATGTATATACGTATACATATATATATTCCAAGTACCTTTTTAAAAAAATAGTCTCATTGGCATATAATTCACATATGATACAATTTAATCATTCAATCATATTAAAAAGAGTTGTGCAATCATCACCACACTCAATTTCAAAACATTTTCTTCTTATACTCATTGGTGTCAGCCTCCATTTCCCCACCCCAACCTCCACTGCTATGCCCTTAGGTAATATTAATCCAGTTACTCTCTGTATAGGTTTACATATCCTGGATTTCATAGATAGGAACTCATATGATACACGAACAAACAAAAAACCAACAATGACAAAACAAAAGAGAGAAAACCCTCAATCAAAAATAAAACAGAAAATATTAAAAGCAAACAATTTTAACAGGAGTCAAAAGGGAAATCAAATGATATGGTTACATTGTAACTAATTACATCTGCCGTAATCCACTGTGCAATGAGCTCTGTTTGACAGCAAGGCTACGGTCAGAGGGGATTCACTGGAGGCTTAATCCCTGTAGGGACCCTGCAAATGGAATTGGGCTTCCACTGTCATCCATGACTTTCTGCAAACTCTCACTCACTGCCATCGAGTCAATGCTGCCTCATAGCAACCCCCTCTGTGGGTTTCTGAGACTGTAACTGTTTATGGGAGTAGAAAGCTCAGTCTTTCTCCCAAGAAGCTACTGGTGGTTTTGAACTACCGACCATGGGGAACACAGCTGGGTGTTCATAATTTAAGCTCTGATACCATTCCCTCCTAAGGATTTGGATTTTATTATTTATAATCCTTGGATCACATAGGCTAGTGTGCTTCTTTCATGTGGGTTTACTTAATGCCTGTGGAATGTAGGGCTTGGGTCAACTACACATTCCTGGCTAAGGGTGGAGTCAAGCATGTCAGCAAAGTTGCAGCCTGATGACACCTTTTTGATATAAGAAGTTTTTTTGTATAAGAGCAAGGTGTACAGAGATGATCTCACTCTCTGTCCCTTTGTTTTCCTGCTTGCCAGGACTCTGCCAACAACCCTGAGAGCTGTTGGCATCCTGCTGGCATCAGGTTTCCACTGACTTGAGATTCATGTGACTCTGCACCCACTGGCCTGTTCCTCTTGCTTCCTGCCTCCCAGTTCACCATTCTGCATCACCAGCATGTGGCTACATGAGTCTGAAGAAGGATTTATGAACTAGCATCCAACTTATGGACTTGGGTTGAACTGGGGTGGGATGCCTCCTTGATATATAATTACTTCTTGATATAAAGCTCTTTGTCATTCATAGATAAGTGTCCCTGGTTTTGTTTCTCTAGATAACCTGTCCTAATACAACACCTCAGTCTGATGGCCACTTGGTTTAAGGCAAGCCTTTAAGACCCCAGATGCTATTTTTTCTGACAGCTGGGCACCATCTGGTTTCTTTACCACACTTTGCTACAGCACCCATATCTTTGGTGAACACTTCAAAAGGGCAACTACAGAGTAAGACTACTGAGTATGTCATAAGAACTAATTATTCTTAGATTGAAGCTAGAATTAAGTGAAAGCCCCCAATCCATTCATATATCTATAGTTGATATATGTCTCTGAATCACTTTAGGGACATCATAATCATTTTTATGATAGATAATATGATAAATCATCCCCGTGGGGCAGCAGCCCAAGGCCCAAACTACAGCCCCACCAACTTCTTCCGTGTCTTTTAGGGCTGACCAAATAAGGAAGTAGATTGTGGGTAATGAAAGCCAATTTTGCTCACTGTTAGAGAAAGAAAGGCTATAATGAACTTGTTGGGATTTCTGAATTTCAGCACTATTGACAGTGCTTTGCTGAACCTCCCCCTCCAGCTCTGTGGACCAAAAGCATTTCTAGACATTTGTAAAGGTCAAAACACCCCCAGTTGGGAAGCGTTGGCAACTTTTTAAAAATAGAAATATGTGTTGGCTACCTACATGGGTCCGTGTAAAATCTCAGTCCCAAGTAAATCCCCTCTGGGTTTACACAGTTGGCTTGTCCCATAGGTCCTCTGTGGAATCGAGCGATTTTAGGGTTGCAATCAAGTGACCTCAGTTGAGCCTGCAAAATCTCATTGTTAAAAGATTTGAAGGGATTATTGAATGCAATTTGTGCAAGTCTCAACTGTGGGTGAAAGAGAATTTTATTTCACAATCAGTTATTACGATAATCTGACCTCGAGGCCCACTCCCAAAGGAAGCCTCCCAGTCTTTGCTGCGCTTCCCAGAGCCAAGGAAGGCGTCGGGGCTTACCCTGCACCCGCCTCCGTGTGCAATCCAGATCTCTGCACACACACCAGCTGTCTGAAGTGTATCACCACGTCCTCCCCCATGCGGAGACCTAGGGAAGGGGAGCTGACCCACAGGCACATCTTTCATCCCCGTTTACAGTCCAGCGTGGAACCCACATGCCACCAGGGCTCCCAGATACACCTTTCTTTATTGCGTCTCGCAGCTATTTCTCTCTCTAGCAAGCTGAAGGTTTGTGTCCCCCCTTTTGGAGCAAGTCTGTGTCGCCATTTTCCAACAGCACATGCTCACTTCGTGTCACCATGGTCATCATTTTCAAACCTTTTCTTAATGCTGTCGCACACTTGCCAGACGACAACATAGTGTAAACACATTTTTGCGTGCACTGAGAAATCACAAAAGTAAAAAGAGAGAGACTCATTTGTCACCAGGTTTGTTTTATTAAGGTTGTCTGGAACCAAACCACAATATGCCTACATCTATTTTTACAACCTGCACAAGTTACTATTCAGTAAGCCTTTAATAGCTGTCTCTAGTTTCGCTTCCTAATTTATACTTGCTCAACCCTACCCCTGTCCCAGGTAAACAGAGTCATTGTCCAGAATCTTTGCTCATTACGAGACAGGATCCTCTTTGTCGGCGCCTGGCTTGCACCAGGAGTCCAAGCTAATACGGTTGGTTCTTGCTTACATCACTTTCACGTGCCTTGGCAGGTTCCCTGCTTCTTTTCTACATACTTCCCCTCTGCCCTGGAAGAGCTTTCCTTTCCTTGGCAAGCAGGGCAGGGCAGAAGTCTAAATGAAGACCCTGGGGTCATTCTTTTGCTTGTTTCTTTTTCATATTTCCTGAGCCAAATTTCTCTGAAAGCTTTTATATCTTTATAAACCCGAACTTTCAGGCTCCGCTGTGATTTCCAGCATGTCCCTCTTTCAGGTCTTTCCACAGTATTTAGAACTCAATCCCATTTCCATGACGCTGCCCATAAGCTGGATGAGTTAGGGCTGCTCTCAAACCAGAGTGATGTCCACTATATGCACGCACATAAGCACGCAAACATTTGTAATACTTTCATTTAAAACTCAGCCTCAAGTCGGAGGCTGCAAACGTCAGAATTGAATACAAACACACCAAGAGGCATGGGCCAAAGAGCATCTTTACCCAGTGTCCAACACCTGCGAAAATACCTTGAGAGAAATTTCAGGATTGAAGGAGATTTTTAACAGATGATCTTTGATCAATTAATTATAATCAATAATACTACATTTCAGAACTTCCAAAATAGTAACCGGTATGTAAGGCTAGTATTATTTTGACATTACACACGGGGAAGCAGGCACAAATGTAAACTGTTATTGAAGTTCCCCCAGATGAACGGTATTCTGTCTACGGACAGGCTGCGGAAAAGCTTTCCATGCACACCTGCTAAGGTAAAGACACCTCGCAACTCTCAGCTGCCGGCACCAGCGAAGCACACCAATCAGAGATCGCGCCTACAAAGACGACGTTCCAAGTCTAAGGGTGGAGGCCAAGGTCAAGCTCACCTTTGAGCGATCTCAAGTGTTGCACAGCCATTCTCAAGACGGTGAGTTTGTCTAGTTTGCGTGCCACGGGCTTGCACTGAGGGATCATCACAGACAGTTCTTCGATGAGGTTATTCATTTTGTCTCTCCTCCGCTTTTCGGTTTGACTGTGAGCTTCTCTGTGGAGGAAAGATTCGGCAAACCCGTGGTCACCCAGTGGTTCTCAACCTGTGGGTAGCGACCCCTTTGGGGGTTGAATGACCCTTTCGCAGTGGTCACCCAAGACAAGCGGAAAACAGATTATTTCCGATGGTCTTAGGAACCGAGACCCCGCTCCTCTAGCCATCTCCATGCGGATCCGCCCTCATGCAGATATGCCCATATACGAGTACCAAGCGTGATAACTGCTACCCATGCTACACCATGCTTCAGGACAAAATTTCATTTACTTGTCATGAGAAATAAATATTTCACAATATATGATTACATACTGTTTTTGTGATGAATCACTACTCTTTCATTATGTTCAATTTGTAACAATGAAAATACATCCTATCAGATATTGACATGATGATTCATCACAGTAGCAAAATGACAGTGATGAAGTAGCAACGACAATAATGATACGGTTGGGGGTCACCACCACAGGAGGCCTGTATGAAAGGGTGGCGGTGTTAGGAAGGTGGAGAACCACTGCCCTAACCGAAGCAGGTGCTGAATCCAGCACACACACACCGTGCTTCGTCCCGACCGTAGGCCTGGGGTGTCCTTTAGGGAAGAGAATGCTGCTGCTGGGCCCAGGAGTACCACTGCCATCGTCCATTCGGACTCGTGCCAGCCCTCTAGGATGGGGGAGGAGTGTCCTTGTGGGTTTCTGAGACCGTAACTCTTCACAGGAACAGAAAGCCTCCTCGTTCTCCCAAAGAGTGGCTGCTGTCTAACTGTCCAACCCTTAACCCACGATGCCATGCAGACCCCTTAGGAACAGGAAGAGTCCTATTGAACGCAGGTATCTTTTAACCCACCCCCACCTTATTTCCTCAGACCTTCAAGAACTCCAGCATCTTTGTGAGCCCCAGAGGTTTGTCTACTTCCTCCTCATGTTGGAGAAAAAGATGTGTCAGCTTCTAGTCCATGGTAGCTCCGCCCCACAGTTGGCTTACACAGTAACGTACATTTTAGCTCATTCGCTCAGCTCCTTATCAGGGGTCTACACATGGCCTCCAGCCTTTGTCCTCAGGAGAAAAAAAACATCTTTCTGTCATTCTAGTTTGTTTGTCTGTCCTTGCTACTGCTTTCCCTTCTCTGCCAAGCTTCCTGAAAGAGGGTCGTCTCCATTCAGTCTTCCTTTTCCCCGATGTGAAACTCAAGCTTCCCCACCACCACACCACTCAAACCATTCTGGCCACAGCCGTGCCTATGCAGCCTCCGAGGGGGTGCCAGATTACCTCTCTGGATGTGCCTCCTCCACTCTCCCTGCTCAGCGCCGTCACCCCGCTTCCTTGCTCCGCTCTTCCTCGGACCTTCGGTGTGCCGGTGGCCCACGATGCCCACCCTGGTACCACTCTTTTCTCCCTAGCTGGCTTGTCCCTAAGAGAGCTCATTTCTGCACAAGGCTTTACGACGATTCACAAATGACTTGCTACTTCATCCCTATCAGGTTCATACTTGACCCAGTTCCAGACCTTTGGAACGGGATTTGGGCACATCAGTGATTCATAAGCACCCTAAAACGCATGACATCTCAAATTGAACTTATTCTACCCAGTTCACCCTGGTTCGACTCTCCCTTCTGTGAGGTTCGTCTTGGCTGTTGACACTTCAAGACTCACTCTAAACCATTTTCTCTCCTTCAATCTAAATAGCCAAATATTTACAAACTCCTATAAATTCTAGTTCTGAAATAATTCTGTCTTTCCTCTCCATCCACAGTGCCGCTGCCTTAATTTAGTCCCTTATATAGTTTGTTGTGCTACCCAAGGGCCTTTTACACTGATGTTTCTTCTAGCTTCTTCCTCTTCTAGCCTACCTTGCCCACTAACTTCCAGCATCATCGTCCTCAAACAAGTCAGACCCTCTAACCCCGTTGCAGAAAACTGCTCCGCACATTCCCACTGCTTAAGAGGAACAGCCAACTCCTGCATGACAGACTAAGGTTTTCTACGACCTGGCACAAGCCTGCGCCTCCTGATTCTTCTCTGAATGCTTCCCCCGGACCTCCACAGTTCACACAGCAGCAGTGTCACACACTTGCAAGTCTCCAAGCATGCTGTGTATCTCACGTCTCCTTCCTGCCTCGCTCTCGATGGCTTGGAGCTTCCTTCCCTTCCGCATTCTTGACAATTCCAAACTCAGCTCAGTGAGTAGCTTCTGGGAAGATTTTTTTGACTGTTACATGACTAATCGCTGCTTTCTCTTGGCTGCCTCAGTACCATTTACAAACCAACACAGCATCCATGAAGCCTGAGCCACCATCCGTTGTAAGAGGCACTATCATTTAAAATATGACCATGAAAGAAAAATGCTACTAATTAAGGGTAAGATGCGCTGATACTAAGACATTTTCCCAGGTGATAAAGTAGAATGGGAAGAGAGATGCATATCTTTGAATGGGAGAATTACACATTTCACTTTCACACTTTAATTAGCTATCAGTCTCTCTTACGAACATGTCAGCTCTGGGTTTCCTTGAGAAGAAGAGTTTAGGGAGGCAACAAGATGGGAGCGAAGCTAAGGAGGGCACTTGCCTCGATCCTTTCTTTGGAGAGATTTTACATAAAATTCTTAAAAATGTTTTCCACACAGAAGAGTCTATGAGTGTGGGCTGGGGTGTACAGGCTCATGGATACCAACCCCTTGGCCTATTCACCCTTGGGGTTGCCACTCCTCCAACAAAGTACAGACTTCGGGGTGAACTGGATGCATTTCAAAGCAAGAACCATATGTGTACTTACCAAAAAAATTTAGTATCTACTCAAACTTTGTTATACTCACAAGTAATTTTTAGTTGAATATTTTATGCTTCAAAGAATGTTACAGTTGTGTTCAAATGATCCCTTTGTCTTTCTTCCAGCATTAGGGGACACTAGAAAGGGCATGAGCAATGAACAAATGTCCGACTCTTGGAGTGGACAGCAGAGGGGTGGCCTCTCTGAGCTAAGATGTAGAGGGAGAGGAGAACAAGGGCAAACAAGTCACTGGAAACAAACAAACAAACAGTGGATGATGACTGCAGGAGCTGGGACACTCAGGAAAAAGGAATAGGCAGTTTGTTTTTAACTTTCTTTTTACTGTTTAACACACGCACACCCACTACCATTGAGCCAGTTCCGACTCGCAGCCATCATACACAGGGTGTCCGAGGCTGTGCACCTTTACAGGAGCGGCTAACCTCCTCTTTCTGGTGGATGTGGATCTCTGACCTTGCAGTTGGTTAGCAGCCCAAGGCGAACCCAGCAGCACCAACAGGGCTGCATGTGCTCAGCAAAGCATCAACCGATTCAATGGTTTCTACATGCTCAACTCAGTGGCCAGGATGATTTTCTTTAAGTGGTGCAACTGTTTCCACCCTCCTTTTCTGAGTTGTCCCCCTGCCCCATTTTCCTAAACTCGCTGTTTCATACAGTTCCTTTCTAATCTTTTGAGTTGTTGTGCCTTTGATCACTCAGAGATAGTGCTTTAAAAAACATAAGGCTCAAAGCAGATAGTTTTTTACGAGTCAAACTAGACTATATTTTGGTTTAAAGATGTCAGTAGGTGATATTTTTTGATTAAGGGATAACTATTATCTCAATAGGTTTATTCAGCCTCCATGGATCCAGAAAGTGTGGAGTGTACCAGAATAAAAAATTCTGTTCTGTATTCCCCTCTATTGATGAAATTCTGTTTTGTATTTCCCTTCTTTTGATCTTTGGAGCTATAGATGTCCTTTACAGAATACATAGACTCTTTGATTAAAATCAGTGTTTCCCAAAGTGGGTGATCCTACCCCCTGGGGTGGGGGTGGGAGGCATTGGAATGACGGGGGTGGTGGTGCAGATATGAATGCTTTATCCTAGATTACAGGCTATGGTGCAACCATTTTTAAATACTAGGTGAGCACTGAGTTGTTTTTTGTTTTGGTTTCTGAAACAGCAGCCGTAAGCCAATAAGTTTGGGAACCCATGATCTAAATGATCAGTCATGGTGGGGAGGGCACCATCCATTTCTTCTGTTCTCATGGAGAAGGAAGCCGTGTTCATGGAGGCAACTGCCCCCGTGAAATAGCCAGCTCTTGAAAAATACATTTTACTTGAAAAAGTTACGGATGAAAAGTTTTCTGGAGGATTTCATGGAGGAAAGGCAGATTTATCCAGAGGCTAGTTCTCTGCTTTATAACTTATCAGGGATCCAACTCGTCATTCTGTGTACAGTTCATATCAGGAAACAGAGTAAGTGGAGAGGGTATGAAATTCAGATCTAGCCATGTGGCCAGACAGGGAAATATTTGTGTTGTTAAAAGAACATTGAAGGGAATGAGGGGGAGGGCGGAGTGGAGACCCAAAGCCTATCAGTCGTCAATTGGATGCTCCCTGTCAGAATGGCCACAAGGAAGAGACGAGCCAGTCAGGG